ACCGGGTAGTCTTCGTGGGTTGATTAATTGACTTCGGAAATTGGTTCCAGACGATGGATTAATTTGACCGGTATACTACCCGAAGTACACCGGTCAACTTTGCAGTCAACCAGTCATCCCTTTGCTGATGATTCAGATCCCTCTTTCAAGCTTGACCTCTTTGACTGGTCAACTGTCTGGTTCTGACCTTTGACCAGTTATGGGTCAAATACACCCATCAATAAACCCTCCACTTCTTAGTTATGCAATTTGTCATAAGCGGGAAGTAAAAATCTGAGAAATGGGTTCAAAATTCAAATTTTCGTCTTTCCCGCTCGAAATTTTCAAATTCAAAATTTGAAGTGTCAGTTGCGACACGTGTTGAAGACTGGGCGCGGTCAGTCATGCGTCCTTTCGCCTTCCCAGGCGCAATGATGGCGCTGCTTGACGCGGCGTGCCCTGGTGAAGCCACGTCGCCTCCTTCCCCTCTCTCCTCGCCTGTATAAAGACCCCCCATCCCCATTCATTCCTTCACTTCCTCCTCGCGTGTCTCCCGAGTTTCACCGGTCAAGCTCCTCTCTCTAGCTTCTCAGCCCTTCGAGTCAAGTAAGCTCCTCACTTTCTCTTATTAGCTTTCTTTATTCTCCATTCTTCCTTCCGGTAAATGTCTTCCCCTGATAGTCAAGATATTTCCGCCTCGGATGCCTACGCACCCGAGGAATCGCTTTCTTCTTCTTTATCCACCGGGTCATCTTCACCCGATCATGAACCCCGGTCGGTTCCCAATCCCAACATCCCTGAACCACAGCCGGTCAACCAGATGCCCGGTCAGATTTTTCAGGAGAGGGATGCACCGGTCGAAGACGAACCGGCTCCCTATGAGCCTGAAAATGAGTCGTACGAGGAATGGGAGAACCGGCTGGAAGCGGCCGGTTATTCTCCTCTTCCTACCAGCTACCCCTTAGACATTTTTCTCGAGGGGTATGTTCTTGAGTATGACCCCAACTGGCCCAACATTGTTGAGCCCCACTGGGATGATAGGGTAGGATTTCACATCATTTCTCTGGAGAGTGGCACTGTCTTCCCCCTCTGTCCCCTCTTGATTGAATTGTGCCACTGTTTCAAGATCATTCCCGGGCAAATTACGCCCAATGCCCACCGTTTTCTGAATGAATTTGTAAATATCTGTATCCATCTTAAAATCGACCCCTCTCTTCGCTTTTTTCTCTACTTGTTCGAAGTCCTTCCCGGTAAGTCGGGTTGTGACGGCTATGTCTATTTCAAAGGCCGTAACGGTCGCCAATTCATCTCCGACCTTCCACAAAGCTACCGGCAGTGGAAGGAAAAATTTGTTTTCATAAAATTTCCTACCGCCTCTCCCTTGGCCGGCATAAAGTGGAATGACCACATCCTGAAATCTCAATACACCGAACCGGCCACGGCCCCAGACTTGGAAGAGAGTTTGGAAAAGCTTTTACAGGGAGACCCGTTCACCGGGTAGATGTTCCATTATGGAGCCTGGATCTGGAGGGCCCAACCGGGTGACAAGGGTACCCCTCAGGCCCAGGAGGCAGCGGGGCACGGGGCACCCTCACCGGGCAACACTGCTGAGGCCGAGGGCCCAAGCCACCCAGGTAACTCTCCTTCTTTCTTTCTTTAATGTTACCGGTCATTCTTGAATCACTTATAACATTTCACTGGTTCTGCAGATATGAACTTCAGGTCTTTCGGAATTCCCAAACCGACCGGTGGATCTTCTTCTGCTGGTCCACACACCTCTACTACCAAGACTGTACCGATCCAATAGGAAACTGTTGAGATCCACGAAGAGGAGAAACTCCTCAGACCGGGGAGACGACCCAGACAGGGAAGGTCCCGGTGAACCCTATCCCTGACAAGGAGAAAGGAAAAAAGAGAGTGAAGCATGCAGTCACCACCCATCCATCAGTCAAGAAGAGAAGGGGAGAAAACTCCTAGGCTGGGGAATCAATGGAAGAGCTCTGGGTCAAGATGACCCTTAAGCTGAAGGAGGTAACATCCGCCCGGTACATTCTCTTTGACGCGCTACTTGCCTGCTTAACTAACCGGTCTATTTTTCACTTTGCAGAAGGGCGAGGTCGGGCTGGATGCCTTGGAGCAGCTCACTGGGGACTCGACCTCCCGGTTGACCCAACTGGAGGAGCGGTTGAAGAGGGCTGAAGCTCACAACCGGGAGCTTCAAGACCTGGCGGCCCGACAGCTGGATGAGATGGTTAATCTTTCGGCGGCTGCTGGAAAGGCGAAGGCAGAGATCCTCCAGCTGAAGGAGGAGAACTTGAAGTTGATGGATGACTTGGAGTCAAAGGAGCGAGAGTTCCCCGGTAGAGCCAAGCAATAGATGGAGGACAATCTGGTAGAAGCTGCCCGGGTTCTTACCTCTTCTGAGGAGAGGACAATGGAGGGTTTCAAGCTGCTGTACCGGGAGGATCAAGGGAAGGAGATGATCACCCAGATTGGCTCCTACGGCTTCATGTCTGGCCAAAAACGAGACCGGGAGGCTACTCATGCGATCCTCACTGATCGGGACCCAGACTTCAGTGCTGAATCCTACAGCCTGGCCCCCATCCCGGATGAAGAGCGTGCACCTCCCTTTCCTCTTGAGTGAAGTCTCTCCAGCTGCGCCCGGTCGGGTGCTTTTTGTAAAACTTTAACAACCTTCAATTTCCCCGGGTATGCCTGGTGTACTTGTAAACCATTTGACATCTTTATTTTGTTAAATGCCATGTTTGTTTTTCATACCGGTTAATCTTCCATATCTGCCTGCTCCTTGATTGATACTTTGCTCTTGTTCCATAGAATCTCTTCGTAAAAACTCTGACCGGCTGAACTTCTTCGATCTCTTGGCTTGTACTTGGTTCTGTCAAGTTCGGCCTGGTGAATTGGAGTAGACCAGTTGAACTCTAACTTCACCTTTTGAATATTCTCCTTTCTTTATGGTTAATTTGAATTCGAACATCAACCTGACCAGTTGGTTCTCCCTTCAAGCTTTGACCGGTTAGATCCTGAACTTTGAAGAACATCCGAAGTTCTGTTTTTGGATTCCTTCCTTTTTGCAATATACGCTTTCTTCGATTAAAGACAGTTTGACCGGTGAGTTCCCACTTTACGGTCTAATCGGTCAAATGCTTTGCCTCAACTTTCGAAGTTCTGCTGTATCAATACCCAACCGGGGTATTCCCTTTTTTTCACCGGTAGGTTGTAGGTGGAAGCACCTGTAACCTAGTAATTTCTTGAAGTATCCTTAACCGGTAAGAATACTGGAGATTTAACCATGTCGAATGGTTTCGAACCCTCTCCAAGGTCCAAATGCACCCTTCTTCCAGGGCCCCCTCTTCCGGGTGATTAAGTCTTTTAATGGCCCTTTGATTTCTACCATCCCGGGAAGGCCTTAGCTCACCCTCCCGTTCAAGTCTTCCCTGAGAAGGGGGAAATAGGATGCGCCACGGTGGACGATCCCTTTCTATTTCTTTTAATGGGCATCTTTTAGTCCCCAATCAATTTGACGGTGTCGGCTGATTCCCCGACACCGGTCAAACCTCATGGGCCCGTGTGAGTACGGTTCGAACCCTCTTCCAGGTCCAGCCCTCTTGCAGGCATACCCTCTTCCGGGCCCCTCTTCCAGGTTTAATATTTTTTAATTTTATACTGAGCAAGACCGGTGTAGTAACCAGCGTGCCAGGTCTGGGCCTGTATCTCAGTTGGCTCATCCAAGTGGATTCGATCCACCCGGGAAGCCCTCCCAGGATAGGTTCGATCTATCAATTCTGCTGCTACCAAGTCGAGTACTGAACTTCCTTTATTTAAATGAAGTACGCCTTGCCTAGTATTACAGTCATTTGTAGAACTTGCGAAGGTGATGGGAATTCCAATTCCTTTCAACCGGTACACCTTCCAGGGTTTCCAACCGGTAGGTCCCCGGGCGAATGATAGTTCTCACCCGGTAAGGTCCTTCCCAGTTCTTGGCCAACTTTCCTCCATCACCCGGTCTACTAGCCTCTCTTCTTCATAGGACTTCATCTCCAACTTCGAAGTATCGCGGTCCAACCTTGTTGTCATGGTTTTTCTTCACGACTTGTTGATACGTGCTCATTTTAACTTCCGCGGCCATTCTCCGCTCCTCGACGAGGTTGAGTTCGGCCAAGTGATGTTCCTCGTTCTACTGGGGTTGATAATTTGATTCCCGAAACGTTGGGAATTCGGCTTCGATGGGCAGCCTCGCTTCACACCCATAGGTCAGGGAGAACGGAGTTTCCCCATGAGCCCTCCTGGGTGTTACTCGAAATGCCCATATGATGTGTGGGAGCTCCTCAAGCCACTTGTTTCCCGCTTCTCCCAGCCATTTCTTTAGACCATCCACAATTGTTAGGTTGGCGTTTTCGACCTGGCCATTTCCTTGGGGGTACGCCACCGAAGAGCGATTGTGCTTGATTCTGAAGCCCTCTAAGTATTCGGTGAACCTTGGATTTCAGAATTGTGGGCCGTTGTTGGTGATTAGGTTCATGGGAGCTCCGAACCTCGTGATGATATTCTTCCAAATGAATTTCTTGCATTGTTGCGTTGTGATGTTGGCCAATGCTTCGGCTTCGATCCATTTGGTGAAGTAATCGATGGCCACGATTATAAACTTCTTCCTCCCTTGGTTGACTGGGAATGCTCCAATGATATCAACCCCGAACCTAGCGAATGGGATGACATTCGATACGGGGTGATAGTAGGTCGCCGGTCTACCGGGGTACTTGTAGAATACTTGGCACGTCCTGCATTTCTGAACGTACCTCTCACAATCCTGGACAATTGTTGGCCAGTAGTACCCCAATAGGATGATGCGTTAAGAAAGCGTACGGGACATTTGATGCGCCGCGCATACGCCTTCGTGGACCTCCTCTATGACTCGCTCAGCCTCCCGGTTGGTTAGACATCTCAGGAGTGGCCCCCAAATGCCCTTTTATATAGCTTTCCATCAAGAACCTGGAATCGGGGTGCCCTGAGCTTCACTTTTCTTGCCCGGTTATCTTGTTCGGGCAAGCCCCCATCCATCAGATCATACATCCAATGGTCGTCCGCCCCGACCAGGTTTGACTGGTTAGATTGGCTTCCGACTGTTATAGCGGCGACTTCCAATTTTTCGATGCTGGCTCGATCCAGGATTTCCACCCAGGCAAGTTTTGAAACATGCTCGGGAGCATACTGCGTCAACTTGGAGAGAAGGTCTGCATCTGCATTCTCCGCCCGGGGAATTTAGGCGATCTTGAATTCCTTGAAGCCTTTCAACAGGGCAAGCAAGCGCTCCTTGTATTGTGCCATGCGTCCTTCTCTTGCTTCCATGTTACCGGTCACTTGCCCAACAATCAGGCTAGAGTCAGATTTGATATTGACCCGGCTGATTTTCAGGGCTTGGGCAAGTCTGAGCACTCCAGCTAGAGCTTCATATTCTGCCTCATTGTTCGTCAGCTTGAAGTTGAAGACGATTGCATGGTAGATCCTGAACCCTTCTGGGGTGGTGAACACGATACCACCCCCGTATCCTCTAGGACCGGATGCCCATCAACTGCCATCTCCCACCATTGCTCAGTGGGTTTGTTGACCGGTAGGTCTGGAGTTAGACCGGTCATTTCTACCAAGAAGTCTGCAAGGGCTTGTCCCTTGATTGCTGACCTTGGCCGGTACTCAATGTTGAATTGAGTTAACATCATTGCCCACTTCACCATCCTCCCGGAGGATGTTGAATTTCGCAACACTGCACACAGCGGTTGGTCAATCAAGACTTCCACCGGGTGAGCTTGGAAGTAGGATGTTAATTTTTTTTGCGGAGATGAAAAGCGCATAGGCAGTCTTCTCCATCGCCGTATATCTACTCTCAGCTCCGTTTAGTGCTTTGCTCACATAATAAATGGCTTTTGCGCCCCATCATCTCTTATTAAAACGGGGCTTACAGCATTTGGGGAAATTCCCAAGTACAGATACAGAGTTTCACCCGGTTCGGGTTTAGACAATACAATATCCGACACCAGGTACTCCTTCAATTCTTTAAATTCCCTCTGGCAGCCTTCGTCCCATGCAAATGTGTTGGCCTTCTTCAGGACTTTGAAGAAGGGCAGGGATCTCTCAGCTGACCGGGAGAGAAAACGGCTGAGGGCCGCTAGATGACCGGTCAACTTTTGTACATCCCTAACCGTGGTAGGGGCCTGCATCTCGGTGATAGCCCGAATTTTTTCTGGGTTGGGCTCTATTCCTTTCTTGGTCACCATGAATCCCATGAACTTCCCGGTGCGGACCGCGAAGACGCATTTCTTAGGATTCAATCGGAGGTTGTATCTCGCCATGATATCAAACGTGGCACGCATATCGTCCGGGTGGTTGAGAGATACCTGGCTTTTGATCAGCATGTCGTCGACGGATGCCTCCATGGTCTTTCCCAACAGCGGCTTGAAGAGTTTGTTGACCATGCGCTGGTAGGTTGCTCCTGAGTTATTCAAGCCAAACGCCATTACCCGGTAGCAGTAGGTTCCTTCGGGTGTGAGGAATGACGTCTTCTCTTCATCTTCCTTGGCCATGTATATCTGGTGGTAGCCCTTGAAGGCATCCATGAAACTTAGGAGTTCGCACCCCGCGGTTTCGTCCACCATTTGATCTGGACTAGGGAGCGGGTATGAATCCATCGAACAAGCCTTGTTCAAGTCCGTGTAATCCACACACATTCTCCACGTGTCGCCCTTAGGAGCAAGGACAACGTTGGCCAACCAATCCGGGTATCTGACTTCCCGGATGTGACCAACACTGAGGAGGTCCTTCACCTCCTTCCTGACGAAGTCTCGCCGGTCACTGGCCAGGTACTGCTTCTTTTGTCGTACCGGTCGACTTCCCTCCCTCACGGCCAACCGGTGGCAAATAACAGAGCGATCTATTCCGGGCATATCCGCCACGCTCCATGCGAATATGCCCGCGTATTCTTGGAGGACCCGTGTAATCTCTGCCTTGAGATCTTCCGGGAGATTTGCTCCAATTCTGACCGTCTTGGAAGAATCACCCGGGTGAAGTTCAATCTCCAATGTCTCGGCCTCAGGTTCATGTTTTTCCCGGGTCTCTCCCTTTGTGATCTCTTGGGAGATGAGATTGACCCCCTTGGTCATCTTTTTCACTGCCCGGGCATAGCACTACTGAGCATTTCTCTAGTCGCCCTTCACCTCACCCACGTCACCGGGAGTGTGGAACTTCATGCACAGGTACGGCATGGAAATCACCGCCCCGAACTTATTGATGCCCGGTCTTCCAAGGATTGCGTTGTGGACGCATTTGATGTCCACAACTATGAACCACATCTTCTTCCATACGGTTTTTTCACCCGATCCTAGTTCGACCGGTAGAACTATGGATCCTTCAGCTTCCACTGTATCTCTCGTGAAGCCTGATAGAGGGGTTTTGAGGGGTTCAAGTTGTGTCCGACACAACCTGAGTTTTTGGAAAGTTTCGAGGTACAAGATGTTGACACTGCTGCCGGTGTCAACAAGTACCTGGGCAACATCTACCCCATTAATATCCATGGTAATAACCAAAGGATCATTATGATCTTCACCGGTAGGGGGGAGGTCCCGGTCAGTAAAGACGATCGATTCCCTTCTGGTATGCTTACGCCTGGCCAGTTCAGCACTTACTTCACCAACGTAAATGCTGCGGACCCAATTCTTCCACTGCGGGGCTGAATCTCCATCTTCAGGCCCGCCGAAGATCATTCTGATATGCTCTTTTTCAGGGGCAGGTTGCTGCTCCCTTGGCCGGTTATTCCTCCGCCGGTCAGTATCCTGGTCATTTCCCTGGGTCGTTGGCCTAACCCATTGATGACTCTTCTCCTGGGCTTTCTGCAAATAATCCTTGCCCAGTTCTCCATTGTCTATCATCTGCCGGATTACTCCCTTAACACTCTTACATTCAGAAGTGTTATGGGAATCTGACCTGTGGTACGAACAATAGTTGCCCGACCACTGCCGTCCTGTTTGACCGATAGGGTTCTCTGGAAGAATGACCGGTGCTTTCCGGATTTCTTGGCATTCTTCTGTATTGACCATACAGACGACCGGGTCAAAGTGGTGTCTTGGCCGGCTAGGTCCCGGTGCTTCTTCCTTCTTGACTTGCACTAGATTGGGCTTGTAACCATGCTCAGCTTCTTTTTATTCGCCCGGAGTTGAGTTTCAGCTTCAGCAAACTCCCATGCAGTGTGGTAGGCCTCTTGGTACGTGGCCGGGGGCTTCCGGCAGAACTCCTTGTATAGTTCCCCGGAACGTAAGCCATTCAAGAGAAGGGATAAGACGGTCATGTCATCCATTTCTTCCACCTTGTCTACCTATTCCTTCCACCGGGTAAGGAACTGAGTAAGGTTCTCAGATTCCCTCTGCCCGGCTGTACTAAGATAGGTGAATTTCTTCCTCTTAGTACAATTCTCCTGGAACTTGGCCTTGAATTTTGAAGCCAAGTCATTGAACGAATCAATGCTTCCTGGACGAAGCTTATTGAACCATTCAGTAGCCCGGTTCCGCAGGGTTGGGAAGAAAAGCAGGAACTTTTCTTTGTCTGTGCAGCCGTTCATGGTTGCACTTTGGTTGAAGGAGTCCAGATGGATTTCTGGATCCTCCTTCTCGGTGAACCTTGGAGCGTCTATCTTGACCTTTCGCGGGAAAGGTGTCAGATGGACTCTTGTGGTGAACCGGGACCCGGCGAGGGGTTTGTCCCGGTCATTCTTTTCCCCAACCTTCTTTTCCAGCCTTTCCAGCTTCGCCTCCATCTGCTGGACGCGGTCACTTGGGACGGTTAACCGGTTCGCCACCAGTAACCTGGGCTGGCTCTCTGCTTCCTCTTCCTGACGAGAGCCCCTCATCCTCGCAGGCTCCTGCCGGTTAGGCCGGGAGCGCTGGGTGCGGGGAGGATCGGCCTCCCTCACCTCGCCTAACCGGGCGAACGCGTTGACATGAGCAACACTTTGCCCCAGCCTCAGCTTGGCTGATTTCCTCTGGCCCTCTTCCCTGTCCCCCAGCCTTTCGAAGGCGGAGTTTCGGGAAGTGGCTGGCCGGACGGCTTTCCCCTTCTTCTTCTTGTGGGCCCTCGGAATGTCCCACTCCTCGTTTCCGCTCTCAACTGAGACGCAGTGACCATCGAGGGTGATCTTTGGATTCGTACCTTGCGGGGGACGCGACGGCCCTGCAGCGTTAAGCGCGCCAGCCAGGTTAACAGGGGTTATGGCGCTGATCAGCTGCGGCTGGAAAGGTGATGGCTGCGGCACTGGCGTCTGGAAGGGAGACACCGCCATGGGAGCTTGTAGGGGCATGGTTCCCGCGCCTCGAAGAGCGAACGGGAACATACCAGGGAGAAAGGGCATCCCCCCATTCTGTTGGCACATGGCCATGACTTGGCCAAAGCCCTGGATGGCCTGCAGGTTGGCCGGATCGCTCATGAACTGAGCCATGCTTGGTGGGAATGTGACCCTTGGTCCAGCGGAAGGGACGGGGATTGTGAACGGGCTGACAATGCTGGGTGTTGGGACTGAGCTCAGACCCAACGACAGCGTGGGAGCAGAAACAGTCGGTTGGCTAGCAACCATGGGGATGCTGACCCCCTCCGTGGTGGCTTGCACTTGAGCGGAAGTAGCGTTCATTTGCTGGCTTGAAGACATTTTGAGTGGTGTTTTTGTGGGTAGGTTTGTGTTTAGAGAAGAAAAAACCTTAACGGTCCCACGGTCGACGCCAAAAATGATGGTGTAAATTACTTGACCGGTCAAACTATACTAGACCGGGTCTAGAATAGTTTGCTTGATTTGGCAAAGTAAGAAAGGTAAAAACACGCAGAGTGACCGGTAGGACTTTAGGTGGAACACCTGTAGCCCAACTTATATTATAACAGAGAATGCACGGGTTCTTTTACAAGGGAGTTTAGAGAGAATGAATCCGCATCCCTACTTCTGAGGTTTACA